TCCTGCTGGGTGGTGGTGACCCTTGGCAGGGGTCCTTCTGCCAGGGATCTCTGCCCACCCAGGCAGCGAGGCTGAGCCCATGGGCACCAGACCCTGGGTCAGGTCTGCTGCTGGAAAAACGGGTTTGGTAGAAAACCCAAGAATGCAGACAAGGTCCAAAGACACGACTTCAGTCTCATCCATTCACCTCCACAAAGCCTGCAGAAACCCCAGAGAGGGAGAAGGTCCTGCCCTGGGGATGAAGCCAAGCCTGAACTGGGCGCATCCCATCCCTGTCACGAGCCATCAGGATTGATCCCCAAGGGAGATGGGGATATGAGTGCCACGGGCGGGGAGGGTCAGCAGGGGTCCCTGGGGAGCTCCTTGCACCAAGCAGTACGTACCGAACTTAGCTGCCTTTGCTGCTGCTGCTGCCGCCGGCGCCCCGACTCCTGGGGACAAGGGAGAGAGGGAGCCTCAGCCACCAGTGCCCGTGCCCTCCACAGAGCCAGGCAGTGGGGACAGGGCTCCTGGGAACAGTCACCTGCCACCCCGGGGACAGCTCCAACACCAGGCACCAAGCCGGGGACACCACCAACGCCGGGCACAAGACCTGGGACGCCGCCAACCCCGGGTAGCACCCCTGGACCTGGAGGGAAGCAGAGCAGTCAGTCCCCCCCAAAAAACACCCCACGCCACTGGTGGGGACATGGTCTCACCTGGTGTCATGGGAGGCAGCTGGCTTTGTGGTGAGCTCTCCACACCTCCCAAACCAGCTGCTCAGGGGACCTGGGATGTACCCCAGATTGGGATTCCCAGCTCCCTACACCCAACCCAGGGGTCTGGAGCCCACCGGGCCACCCAGGAGCCTGGGGATCCCCAAGGTCCCTGGAGGCCGTGGAGCTGCTCCCGGGGCTGACGTGTTTCCTTGGATGCTCCAATGAGCGGTTGTTTGCTATTTGCTTTTCTCCCACAAAAGAGCCAATGAGGTGAGCAGCGAACACGAGCTCTGCATCACCAAACACATCCCTCCGCTAACAAATGACGGCTCGTTACAGACACCATCTCCCCGGACACCCCGCTGGAGCCCAGCACAGCAAAACCCCATCTCTTATGGAGAAACCATGCATGATGGGGACGGACTGCCCTGTGTTGGGCTGCTGCCTTGCAAGGTAGCCAGCCAGCCCTCCAGCCACCACCAAAAAAGCTGCTTTTTGCAAACCAGGCTTTGCTATGCCCAAGCCTGGTTCTCCCAACAGGCTGCTGGAAGCTTCCCCCAAGGGGGTAAAGCCCCTCTGCAGCCCTGGGGGAGGTTTTGCACTTTGCTGCCTTCCACCCGCAAAAGCCACAGGCTCAGCAGAGCGGCTTCACCTCGCCCTGAGCTCCACAGCAAGCAGCCGCTGGAGCTGGGGTAGGGGGCTGGGGCTGGGAGAGCACCCCAGGAGATGGGACAGGGGGTGGTGGGGCAGGCAGTGAAGCTGTGCAGCCCCGGCACCAATGCATAGCTCTTCTGTGCCCCAAGAGTGATCCCAGCCCCGCAGGCAGCTGCCGGATCTGTCCGAGACAGCAGGGGACTCACCGAAAGCTCCTGCCTTTGCCGCTGCCTTTGCCGCTGCTGCCGCCGCTGCCGGCCCTCCAACTGCCGGGGTAGCGGGAGAGAGTCAGGGGTGCGGGATGGGGGGAGGCGCCCCCCCCCGAGCCCCAGGACAGAGCCCCGCCATCGTCTCACCTCCGACTCCTGGGACAACGCCGACACCAGGTACCAGTCCGCCGACTCCCGGGACGGCTCCAGCCCCAGGCAGGACACCGGCTCCTGCCACAGAAGAGAACGGGACCATCAGCTCAGTGATGCAGAGACACAACCAGCATTCCCCCCAGCCTGGGAGGGAGGGAGCAGCTGCCCAGCTGGGGAGATGGGTGATGGATGTGCCCGTGGAGGGCGACTCACCATATTTCGCTGCTGCTTTTGCTGCTGCTGCCTGTGCTCCGACTCCTGGGGAAGGACATGGGCAGTTGCTAAGTTCCTGAGACCATTCCCACCTCATGTCCCCCATCCCACAGGGACCCTGGGGACCATCCCCTCCTGTCAGCATCCACCCCCCTCTCCTTTGGGAGGTGATGCACCCCTCCAGGCTGTCCCTGGGGTGACACTGCCACCCTGGGGCCACCAGACAGCTGGGCAGTGCACAACACCCCATCCGAGGACTGGCAAAGTGACGGGGTGCCTGGTCCCCCTGCCTTCCCCGTGCCAGTCCCCCACCCTGGGGCTGCCTGGGAAGGGAACATACCTGTCCCGGTGGGGTACCCTGCCTTTCCTCCTATCCCGATGCCAGCTCCTATCCCGCCGGGCCCGAAGCCTGCAATCACAAAGAGAAAGGCAAAGCCAGGTCAGGCACTGGCCCTGGGAAGTGGAGCGAGGCAGATGGAGCAGCTCCCTCGGCCCAAAGGATCTCCCTCCGCCGGCGTCGAGGGATATGGGGGGAATTCTGGAGCCAGCTCCCCTCCAGTAGAGATGCCAGTTCAAACGTCCCTGCCTGGAGCTTGCTGCGGCTCAGGACGTGTCCTAGCAGAGAGCCAGCCAGCCAGCTGACCGCTACCGGTGCCGCGGCGTGCCTGCAGATTAACGGCTCCTGGCCCCATGGCACGGGGTGCCAGGAGAGCCAGGTTGCTCCCAGTCGGGTCCACAGGTGTCACGGCAGGGCAAGGCACGGGTCCCCTGAAGGACCACCTCACCCTGGGAGCGGGATGCCCCTCACACCGCCCCAGGTTTCAGTGGTCACAAGGCCACTGCGGCAGCCGGCAGAGCCACGAGGAGCTACAACCGTGGAGTGAGGGCTACGAGCACTCACCGTAGGGCAGCTTACCAGTGGTGTAGGGCAATCCATAGCCACCTGGAGAGGAGAGAAGGTGGCGGGTTAGCACCTGGCTGCCGGTGGCCGTGCCCCCTCTGCCCCGCGGTGTAGCCCCTCTTTGCCAGCCGGCTGTGCAGCACCAGCCCTCGGGGCTTCTACCATTGGGATAGTAAATCCTCCAGGATACAACCCCCTGTGATGGAACCAGGCCAGGAGATGCTCTTCTCCATCACCTTGGAAGCAGCTGCTCCAAAAAGAGCCACCTGCTCTCAGCCCCACACCAAGGGCTGTGGTGCCCAAAGCTGGTTTTGCAGAAGCCTCCTATGACCCTGCTTCGGCAGGGGGTCCCCCGGGAGCCCCGCGGCGAGAATTGTACCCAACTGGCTGTGCCACAGCCGGCTCCAGATGAAAGGTTTTAATTGGAATCAGGGCTTGGGAGCCTCTGCTGAAACGTGACCTCATTAGGAAGTCGGCACGAAGGGATGGGGAGGGATTACGAGTGGGAACATCGCGGCCAGGGAAATGTCTCCTTGCGAAAGAGCAGGATCCCACCGTTTGGGATGGCACGGGGGTGCCCGTGACTCGGTGGGGACCGTGCACTTGGGAGCCAGCAGCACGGAGCTCCCATCACCGCTGGCGGCAGCCTGAGAAGGGCTGATGGGCTGCCACGTTCCTGATGGGGACACCCCGAGCAGCACGTAGGGTGGAGGGTGTCTCACACACCAAGCCCTCCCGCTGGAGGGGAGGATGCTGCTGTCTGCAGCCAGGACAGGATTGCTCATGGCAAAGCATCTCCTTGAGCACGGGACGCCGTCCTCTCCCGCCAGCCAGCATGTGGGGACCAGATTTCCCTCCACCCTGCCAGGCTGTCCCACGCCAGCACAGCATTGCTGGAAGGTGGAGGCTTTCCAGGCTGCTGTGGCTGTGAGCTGTGCCAGGTGTGCCCCACCGTGGGGACCCCCCTTGCCCATCCCGGGGCACCTCACTAGCCCCTCGCTCACCCCAAAGCTGCAGAAGCGTCTGGCACTGGGTGACACGTGGAGGTGCCTCCAAGGGTCAAGAGTCCAAGCCCTTGGGTCTCCGAGGGTTTTGCTGGGTCCAAGCCCGGCTCCTCACCACCCCAAGCCGGGTGCAAGAGCAGCACCCACCCTGGGGCTGCACGCACCCATCCTGCCCCAGTGCGGGGATGCCACCAGCGCTGCCGGGGGGGCTCAGGGCCGACGGGCACGCTGGCTGGCATGGAAAGGGCTGCGCACAGACCGATACCACCCCAGCATGGCCGGGCACTGGGGAGAAGTCCCCTTCCCTGTGGCATCGGGTGGGACCCTGATTTCAGCCACAGCTTCAGGCTGAGCCCCCAGTGAGCATGGTGGCCCTGGGGCCACCTCCTGAGTGGGGACAGCACAGAGCAGGAGCTGGCTAGGGCATTTGGAGCAAATCATCCAAAAAGGAGACTTTCCACTGAAAATGTTATTTTCCCTGCTGTCCCCTTGTCCCCTCTAGAGCCAGACCTACTGTAGCTGAGACAAAGCTCAGGGGGACGTGTGGCATTCCCCGGGTCCAGCCGCAGCATCAAAGTGAGAGCCTTAACAGCCAACCCAGTTTGTCCCCATGCCACCAGCCCCAAGCCCTCAGAGGCAACAAACTGGCATCCCCCAGCGTCCTGGGAAGGACCAGGGTGCCAGGCAGCACCCAGCAGCTGAAACCACAGCCAGGGTACCACCACTGTCCTGCTGGTCCCCGCGAGAGGTGTGATGCACTGATGGGGCTCCCTGGCCAGGGGGATGGGTGTCCTCCCCTGATTTATTTAACGAAGGCTCCCCATAAAGTGGGTCAGCCGGCAGCAGCGTCCCGTCCGGGCTGCGGGCCACTGGCGGGGCCACCACGGGATGGAGCCAGGCACGGCCGTGCCACGAGCCGGTGGTTTGCTCTCCGCACCGGGCACCCCATGAAAGGCCGTCTGGGGCCGGGCTGCGGCTGGGGGGCCAGACAGTATCCGATGGCGGCGGGGCCGAGTCGCCCTAACGAGTGTAACTCTGCCTCCGCGGGAGGAAGCCTCTGCGGGCCAAGTATTTCTGCCGTCGTTTGCGGCGACGGGCCCCAGCGGGGGGAAGCCAGCAGAGCTGCTGGGGCTGGCGCCCGTGCTGGGGTGGGATCTGCTCCCCGGGGGTGGGCTCCCCTGCCAAGGCTTTCCTGCCTGCAGCAACTTGTTTCGGCGAGTGGGAAAATGCCCATGGATCTACTCGCTGCCCAGCACCCCAGGGATGAGGGTTCCCGCTCAGATCTGGCTGCCCTGCTCCTCGGGGCTGCTCTTCGAACCAGAAAGCTGGCAGCGTGGCCCTTGGAGGCCACAGCACCCAGTACTGGCTGCCTGGCACTGCCTGTCCTGCCGCTGTCCTTGTGTGGGCATGGCTGGCTGGGGACGGGCAGAGCTGACACCCGGCACAGGGCTGGGAGATGGAGGTCCCTGGAGCAGCCCAGCCTGGGAAAGGGGTGCTGAGCACCCCCAGGCTTCCCTGGGCTGGGGCTGAGCCTCATCTGGGCAGGCAGTGGGGAGGGAGACCTGCCTGGAGCTCCATCCCCACCTCCTGTCTGCTGTTGGTGGCCTTGGCTAGAGCTCCTTGAGCCAGGACGTTTGGCTCAGGTGAATGCCCAGCAATGACCGGCACAACCCCAGGAGCCACAGAAAGGAGATGGTCCCTGCAAGGGCTGCGTGTTGTGCCAGGAGGAGCTGGCAGGGACAGCCTGGGGTGGCCTGGCCCAAAGCATGTCCCCAGAACATGCTCTTTCCTACCTTACCACAGCCAGAGAAAGGCACAGCGTCGTCCTCATGGGCTGGGGGCAAGACCACCAGCAGCAGCCAGGCAGCTGCCCATGGGGCTGCGATAGGCAGGGCTGCTGCTGGACTCACCTGCCCAGCGCCCCTCGCCCTGTCCTGCTGTCCCAGGGCCAGCACTGGCACTGCCAGGTCCGGAGGACCCGGGGACACCGTGGCTCAGCCCTGGGGAACGGCGGGTCCTTCTCCTGGCACTGCTCGGGGTTCTTCACCCCTAGCCCCGTTGGCTGTGGCAGCTTACCTGGGAGCTTAGGAGCTTTGATGGGATACCCCAGAGGGACACCGGGCTGCTGACCTCCAAAACCTCCCAGTCCTGCAAAGCCAACAGCAGACTCTCACCTGGAGCCCGCGGCCAGGCTGACACCAGTCCTTGCGAGAGGGGAGCGCCCCAGGGCACCCCGGGAGAAGAGAGCGGGTGGCTCGGGAAGCCCTGAGGCATCTTCTGGTTTGGGGAGGCCATGGCTGTGATGAACAGGCTTGGGAAGGAAGAGAAGGACGAGCAAGAGAGATAGGACACTCACCGGGGACTCCTGCGAAGGCTCCTGCTCCTAGGCAGAAACACAAAGGCACCCGCATCAGCCTCGGAGCTGATCCTCGGGGTCCAAACTAGCCTGTGTGGGCTCAGCCGGAGGTCGGCTTCGCTCGCCCACATGCCCTGTGGGACTGCGACCCCAAAGGATGGGCTGGAGCCAGCCCCAGCAGGATGGGGATGGGGGCAGAGCTGGAGCCAGCCCTGGACCCACCCTCCACCCCGGTGTCCCCAGGGGATCGAGGGGACCTACCTGGACCTTTCGGCTTGACTCCAGCACCAGTGGGTACTCCGGGCAGCACCCCTACGCCAGGGAAGCGGACACCTGCAGCAGACACCAGAGGGGCCACAGCATGGTTGGGCACCGTGGCGTTGCTGGTACCCAAGACCCCTGCACCCAGCTCCCAAATCCTTGTCACCCATCTCTGGCTCAGCACTAACCCTTGTACCCTGGGATAGGGGACCCTGATCCCCCAGGGGCTTGCTGGGACATCCCCGTGCCAGCCTCCCCGCCCCACCAGGCAGAGCTGCCGGGGAAGGGTGTGCTCCAGCCCTGTGCCTGCCTGTGCTTTGTGGAGGGCCAGGCTGCCCACACAGGAGCTCGGGGTGCCTGCAGGATACATGGCACCCAAGAGTGGGTCCCACTCGTGACAGCAAAGCACCAGCCCACGCCATGGTATAGCCAAGCCCAGGCATTGCTCTCTGTCCCGGTGATGTGCAGTGGCTTCGTGCAAGGTGGGGCTCTTTGGGGAGTGGGAGGGGGGGTCCTGCCCACCGAGCCCTGACCCTCTGGGGCAACAGGCAGCGCTTTGGCCTTGCAGTCATTTGGGTTTGGTTTTTGGTGTTTTCTTTGTTCAGTTTGGGGTTCTTTCCCTTTTACAAATGTCTTTCATTATAACTCATGCGTTTTCAGACACGGAAAAGACATTCCTGACCAGCAACACACTTCTCATTCTGACAGTGTCGAAACATCTTGTTTTCACAAGTTTTCCTCCCCCAAATTACTTTGCAGTGAGGAATTCCTCTCCCCCCACCACCTCCTCCCTCTCCTTCCCACGCCGTCTTTGGCTGGGCAAGCCGGCCCTGGCGTGGTCTGTGCCAGCTCCTCTTCCCGGTGCTGATGCCGCCTGCTCCCGCGGAGCTTGGCATGAGACCCCCGGAGACGCCGGGTTCCCTTGCCTTTGGCGTGGTGGAAACGTCGCTACAGCCCCAGAGAAAGGGTTTGGAAACTGCAGGCAGCAGTGATGGGGCAAGCAGGGAGTCAGGCAGGCAGGCAGCATGGGGCTGCACACAGCCTTCTGCAGGGCAGGGTGCTCTGCCTGCATGGGGAGGGCAGGCAGGGGGGGTGTGTCATAACACCCAGGGTGCAGCTGGCCACATGGCTATTGACTCAAACCGGGGTGCTGCTGGTGGGGTGGGGACCCCCTCGGAGGTTGGGGTGCTGCTGGTGGGGTGGGGACCCCCAGCTCACCTGCTCCAGGGAGCACACCGCCCGGGAAAGCTCCAGGAATCCCAGCACCTGCCAGGTAAGAGAAGGGCAGGGATGAGCACCCAGCCGGAGCCATTCCCCACCCCGGCCCCCCACTTCGGGGCCGTGCACCTACCTGGTACTTTGGGGGGTTTCGCTGCCGCACCAACCCCGCCTGGTACCACCGCACCTGCAGGCAGCAGAGACCCCTGAGCCCCGGCGCATTGGCTCCTGCCCACCCTGGCAGGAATGGAGACGCGTCTGCCCCGGGCTCAGCTATGCTGGGGACGCACGGTATTTCCTACCTGTGGAGACCCTGAGACCACCAAGACCACCAATTCCATCCACAACACCAATGCCAGCACCTGGGGGCATTGGGAGGAGGAGTGTACCAGTGTGAGATGCCACTGCTGGGCTACGGGTGGCCAGAGCGGTGCCGAAGGAAGGGACAAGCTCAGGACAGCTCTTGGGGGGTGAAGGGGACACCCCAAGGCAGCACCAGAGATGAGTCCCCTAGACCTGGACACGGGGACCAGGCAGCTCGGTGCTCTCCACTCCTGGGTGCTCAGGCTTCGCCAACACCCCTTTCTCAGCACACCAAGGTATGTCAGGGTCCCTCTGCATCGGTGGAGGGTCCCGGCAAGAGCAGCACCTCCTACCTGCAGCCGCCAGCTCCACAGGGAAACCTCTCCTAACCCAAGCAGCCAGGGGACACCGGGAGTCCCTGGGGGCTGACCAAGCCCTGGCATTGCCTTGCCCGGCGTCATTGCCTTGCCCAGCATTGCTGCCTTGCCCGACATCGTTGTCTGGCCCAGCATCGTTGTCTGGCCCAGCATTGCATGGGAGACCTTCAGCACTCACCAGCTTTTGCAGCAGCCTTGAGGGCAGCGGCGGAGGGAGCACCTGGGAAGACGCCCCCGGGGAAGGCGCCTCCAGGGAAGAGACCTGCAGCACCTGTGGGGAGGAGAAAAACCAGCGTGAGCATCCCCAAAAAGCTGCCGGCGAGAAGGCGTCCTACCCTCCACGCCGGCCGTGGTGGGCGCAGGCGGCAGTGAGCCATGGGGGGCTGCGCGGGGGTGCCGGGAGCTGGCGTTAGGCTGGGCAAGGCGGTGGTTAGCAGGCGCTGACCTGTCCTGCGCTGGCTTCTCCCTGCATCCCCCCCAGGTACCTGCTCCTCTCCACATCCCACCCATCACCAGCTACGCCCATGCCACCCGGGGCACCCTGTGGTGCCACCGGCTGCGGTGCACGCCAAGGTCCCCTGTGGCCCCGGGTAGGATGGGCAGGCCACATGCAGGCACTGTCCCTTTGCTGCAGACCCCATGAGGATCCCGTGTCCCTCCTTGCCTATCACTGCTTGGGGTCACCCAGCTGTGGTTGATGCCACGGTGTTGGGGGACCATAGGGCTGCCCATTGGTGGCTGCCGGTCCCTCAGGTCTGGGAAGGGTGCCCAGCCCAGATGAGACCCACCAGACAGGCTACAGAGAGCACCCAATGGGGACAAGCCACGTGCCATCCCCAAGGTGAGTGCCTGGGGACATCGCCCTGGGGACAGTCTGGAGCAGGGGTGGCTGGTGGTCTGTGCTCACCTGGCTGCAGGCCAAGTGGGCCGAGTCCCGCAAGACCTCCGACCCCTGGAAAGAGAAGTGGGGTGAGGTAGGGGGGGGACCGGGGCCAGAGGACAAGGAGCAGGAGCGTCCCACTTGCACCATCCCGGTGGAACAACGTGTCCTGGGAACGGGCACAGGGACAAGTGACAAAGGGTCCCCCATCCCATCCCTTTCTGCCTTGCCCGCCCCCCACCCAGCCAGGCCATGAAGGGACGGAGCCGAAATGTTTATGGCTGAGGAATGAGTCCCTCCGGCTCTGGCCAGCGCTGCCTTCCAACATCTGGGGCTAATCAGCCCTCGCTCCCTCCAGGCGCAAATTCCACTGCCTTTGGCTCAGGGCGCGGACACCGCTCCGGCTGGGGCTTCGCGGCCGCGCCGCGTTTGGTTTTAATTACGCCAAAATAAAGGGCCTTGTTTTTCTTTCCACGAGCTGAAATCTGAGTAAACGGAGGTTGCAGGCCCCCGCCTCGGACTGGCGCTCCCGCCGCGCAGACGGGCCAGCTCGGGGGGCCGAGGGGTGCAGTGCGCCCCTGCCCCGGGGCACAGCGGGTACCCCTGGGGCGGGCAGGGAGGGGAGGCCCAGGTCTCCACCTAAAATAACATCTTTCCCTGGGCCTCGATGGGCACTGGGCATCTCTGTTGGCACCAGCTTTTCCCCCTGCACGTTCAGTCCCTGCTGCCCCAGCACCATGCCCCAGGCTCAGTGCCCTCAGGCTGTGCATCCTCCTGCCAGCTTCTCATCTCTCTCCCCATGATGCCCCCTCTCGCCCCCTCATTTCTAGGCCAGACAAACCCCAGCGTGGGCTGCAGGAGCCCCAGCAAAAGCTGCTTGGCCGTGAATGCAAGCAGGCGGAGGTGCTGCCAGCTTTCCGTGGGCACCGGCTCCCGGCAGGGCTGAGCAAGCGTTACTCGGCTTTGCATCTTCCTGAGGAGCTTTGGTGCAGGTTTGCAGGCAGCAAGCACCCCAAAAGGGTGATCCGTGGGGGCTGGAGGGGAGAGGGCAGTGCACCGAAGCGGGGGATGTGGGAAGAAGGCTCCCTTGCGGCTACGGGGGCTTGGCGGGGGTTAGCATGGCAGGGCAGGGCGGAAAGTGCTGGCTGCTGCGTGCCTTGGCCATGGGGGTGCCCAGGGTGGAGGGGTCCCCTTGGCCAGGTGGGAGAAACATGAGGGCAACAGGGTTCAGGAAATATCCTGGCCACTGGCACAGCTGGAGATGGCGAGAGAGCCAAGGAAAGGTTTCTTACCTGGTTTGAGAGGTTTTGCCCCAGCCCCGAGTCCTAGGGGAGAGCAAGTGGAGAGGGGTCAGAGCCATCCTTCCTCCAAGCATCCCCAGAGGGGGGGACACCGTGCGGGACAGGGCCAGCCTTGTGGCAGACCCCCTGCCCGCCACAAGGCAGCTCTGCCAGGGGTAGCTGCCCCCCTCCCCATCCCAGCACACCCTGGGCAAAGGGGTCCCAGCACTCACCTGCTCCCAAACCTCCAACCCCAGCACCTGCGAGCAACGGCACAGTCTTAGCACCCATCCCTGTAAGCACCCACCCACCCACGTAGGGCTCTTGGGGGGATCCATGGGGAGGCAGAGAGGGTCACCAGGGTGCAAGGAGATGGGGCATCCTCCCTGGGATGTCCCCAAGCTTTTGACTGAAACACTGGGGACAGGCTGTGACCTCTGAGCACCTCCTGTGGCCAGGACTGGGCAGGGTGTAGGTGCCAGCCCTGGGCTAGTGACCCCCAGCGTAAGCCTGGCACTGCCACCCAGTCCTGTCCGCACGCTGTGGGGCTGGCGCTGTGGCAGCAACCCAGGGCTGAGCTGCCAGACAGGGTGTCCCCATGTCCCCTGATCCCAGCTGGCCAGTCTCCAGCCCTCCGTGCTGGCTCAGAGGCACCTGCGGACCCCCCAGGGACCTGTCCCATCCCTGCAAGCAGTGTGAGCCCCCCCCAACGCTGCCTGGACCCCTTACCTGGGAAAAAGCCTGCTCCTGGGACTCCCCCTCCCGGGATAGCACCAGGGACCCCTGCAAGAGAAGAGACCCTCGTTAAAATCCCCCCAGGGATCCAAGTGTATCCGGTGGGTCGGGGTGGGTGGCACCTCCTGGGATGGGGAGCTGCTCCCTGCGGAGGGGGTGGGATGTAGAGCCCTGGGGCGAGGGCTCAAGGGCAGGTCCCTGCCTTTTTCTTGCTGGTGCCCAGCTTTGCTTCCCAAAAACTGTCCCGTACCACAGCCAGCACCGCCTCCGTCACCTCCAGCTTCACGTGGCTCTGGGGGGTGGGGGACGGGTCCAGGCATGGTCATGCATGGGGGGGTGAGGCTGTCCCAGTTCATCCCCGCAGCCCACGCTGGTCCCAGTCAAGCCTGAGCATGCTTGGCGGCCCCACGCCCAAGCTGCCTGCCCTGCCTTGCCCTGCCTTGCCCTGCCTGCCAAGCTGCCAGCAGGAAGAGCCAGCTCAGGCCAGCAGGACTGGGGTGTTGGACTGGGGGGACAGTGCTGAGACCCATCAAAACCACCTGCGTGCCTCTGCCCGTCTCTGCAAAGCTGAGATAAGCGCCCAGGTCCCACCACTTTCCAAAGCGTCTGGAGCTCATGCTCAGAGGTCGTGCTCAGACACCACAGGAAATTTTTTTTGGCTGGTTTGGACCCTGGTAAAGGTCTGTCTCCTGCAGACCACCAGGCAGCCATCCTCAGGGTGGTCCCCACTGCCCCATCAGGGCCAAGGATGGGCTTGCAGGTGGGTTGGTGGCACAAGGAGGTTGCAATGCAGAGGAATGCTCTGCTTTTGGCTGGAGCGTGTTTTTGGCACTGGGGGGGTCGCCGTGGGGTTGGCAGGATGGCTGGCAGGGCTTGCAGTGAGGCTGGCAGGAGGATTTGGGGGTTGCCAGAGGCAAGCAGAGGGCTGCCGTGGCCAGTGCCCCTGTAGCAAACTGCACCCAGCTCTTCTGCCTGCTCTGGGCAGAGGGGATGGAGTTCAGGGTGGATGGGCACTGGGGACCCTGCGGTGGCATGGCTGGGACCTGAGGACCTGCTGTCCTGCTCTGAGGCTGCAGTGGCCTCCCCAGCACCCCGGTCAGGGTGGGGGGGACCCGGCACCCCTCGGAGCTAGGTGCCTGCAGCAGCACAGCCCTGGCAACACCACCGCAGGCTGCGCGGTGCCCAGGGACTGGGCAGGGTAGCCAGCGCAGGCAGGTGCCAGGCAAGTGGCAGAGCTGGCAGCCATGGTGGGGGGCACATTGTGCTGCACATCTCTTCTTCATCTCAGATGTGGTGCAAACTCTGGAGGTCCCCCCTCCCTGTGCCCCATAGCCCCCTGCTTCACCCCAACGGCTGCCCGCTGCAACGTGGCAGGGATGAGGGTGTGCTCTGGGCCCTGCTCACATGTCCCCCACCACCCAGGGCACCTGGGATGGACCCCCAGCCCAGCCACACAGAGAGACTGGGTGCCAGGATGCACCCACATGTGTCAGCACACACACGCGTGCAAGAGGGGTGTCAGGCTGTGTGTGAAGAGGAGATGTTGGGGGACACGCACCGGCAGGACGCGCACCCACAAACCCATCGGGATGCACACACAGGTGGAGGACCTGTGCCAGGACCCGTCACACAGCCCCCACGTGCCCCAGTGATGCCAAAGAGCGGGGCTCAGCCCTGTGCCCCCAGAAACCACCTCCCAGGGCCCTGCTGGGGGGAATCCAGCCCTGGAGCAGCTGATGTCCCTTGGAGTGGAGGGGACACATGCTTGGTCATCGTTCTGACCGGCCGGCTCGCCCCTCTGGCACGGCACAGCCCGAGCCGGCCGCCGGGCAGGGGTGTTTGGGGCGGGTGCCTTTTCCCGC